ATTTTGAATAATTTAGGTGTATACGTCACCATGAGTCAACATCATACACGGAGTCGTTGGGAACTGTTCAACAGGATTATTATTTTTATTATCCATTTTGGGTTCCGATTAAAATACAATACTTCAAAGGCACATCTCCATTCCCCCATGTTCTCCACACTCCTCCTTAGCTGTCTGTTCGAATGTCCATAAGTTTTTGTCTATTCTTCACACTATCTCTGCTATGTCACCCTCAGACTGGCGCAAAACCGTAGTTTTCTTTTCGCCTTTCACAAGAGGGCCTGATACATGGTCACTTGACGGCCTCCTCAGTGTGTTTCCGATCTTTGGCAGTACATAATGATGAACTCACTAGTATGCCTTTAATTTACAAGACCAGAAATTCGAATTCAGTCACCGCCTACCAGTCGGTCGGTCGGTCGGTTTTCGAAATAGAACTTTGCACATAGGTGCGGCAGTTCAAGTCGCCACACTCCATGTAGCACACAAAGCAAGAGAAGAAAGTAGGAGAAATGCATAATATAGACAGTAAACAGAGGTGTGAGACAAAGGAATAGTAATAACGGAGAACAAAACACAGTTTAATTGGAAATCATAAGTCACAAGGAGTGGATGCATCTGCGCCAGCCACTGAGAACGATTTTGAGCCATGTCACCAGTTGTTTCCAACCATTGGTTTTTACCGTCCCGAGGACACCAACCAGGAAGCCTGCACCTTCCTACGTGGCTTAGCTAACTGTTGTAGATTTCATTGACTGGTGCCATGTTTTCGTTTGACCGCCGCCAGCTCTTTTCCAACCTGGCCCTATATCAGCTAACATTGCCCGTTGAGGAAGGCGATGACTAGGCATGTGTAACACATGTCCTAACCATCTCAGTCGATGTAATTTCACAGTCTCGTCGACTGATTTCCCCTCCTTACCTAGCACTCGACGCCTAACCTCAATATTGCTCACCTTATTATACCACTTCAAGCAGGAGATAGAACGCAGACACCTACCAGTGCCATCAATGAACGTCCACCTTACACTGCCACGATGCATCTAACAGGCCAAAACTTCTCATTAGAACCTAAGGACATCAATCACTTAGCCAGCAGTTAACTACAGATTTGATTAATTTTCAACAATAGTTCCGTCGTTTGAAATTTTCCCTAAATAGCTTCGTAATGTCATATCTTGAAATATCAAAATTTCAGAAAGATTCAAATTTGTTTTCGGGATTATCCCAATAAATTATTCATTAGTTAGAGGCTGTTGCTACTGATGCTTTAAAAATGTCCAGCATAAAATGAAGTTTAATTCCTCAGTTTCTCTGAGTTTGAAAGCCGGTAAAGAGGTTTTAGGCAAATGACTTATTTCATTTATGCATTTCTTGTCTCACTTATAACTTTTGGTACTCTAGATGTCAGCACCATAATAGTACGGATAATGCATTTTTCTATCATGTGGTGAGTACTCTGCCTTAGTGGTCTGGAATCTCCTCCCATAATAATGATAAGAATAACAGCTGTATTCTGGAAAGAGAGTTGTAAGCATCATACAGAATTTTTAAGCCTATCCTATTCCAAAGTATTTTCTCCTTGTGTAAGGCCTTCAAGTAATATACAATGCAAATAAACTACAAATCATGTTTTCTACATGGTCGACGATGATTTCTCGATTGAAAGGTGAATAACCTAGACTAGTCACTTCTAATTGTTGACTTCAGTTAGAGATCCACCGGAAAACCTGGGAGTACTGGACAGCTGTTTCATCCTAGTTTGTGACTCTTCAAAGTACGCACTCACTAGTGCGGCGTTCGAACCCATAACCTTCTGACTACAAGGTGAGCTGTCTCGTAGACCATTACGCCACTGGGATCATATTCTATGTCCAGCCTATGAATTCTAACTCCTAACAATTCACGATATAACGCGACCATTTCGCAATACTTTTTTCGTTGAGTCACTGCCTCATCTTCAACCTGCTGTACCCTACTGGTCATGGCTTCCCCCTAGAACCCCAGGTTGAAGGTGAGGTAGTAACTCATTGAAGAAGACATTGAGAAATGGTAGCGCTATGTCATGAATTGGCAGAAGTTAGAATTCATGGGTCATTTGATCAAGATTTAGTGGCATGGACAGGACAATATACACATATTCACAGCTTCGTTCCTCTTAAGTACAAGAGAAATTTAGTACAGACCCTTAGTCACAGAGTTAGAGCTTTATGCTCAGAAGAAGTAATTAAAGATGAACTAAGAATTGTATATGATAACTTGATTGAAAATAGCTATCCTGACAAATTTATCAGGAAACACATGAGTAAGAAAGCGGCAGAAAAGGACTACTCACTATTTTTTTTTTTGATTTACAGCTTGATTTCCACACCGTATTTTCAGTACAAGTGTGGAACTTTCAGCATGGATATCGGTTGCCCAAATTCAGGCATACCATAGATATCGGGTGTGCGCCGGCAGGGGTTCGAACCCCGGACCATGTGCATGGTCGGCAAGAGTCCTAACCACTGTGCCACCGACGCACATATCCGTAAACAACAAGCCTCTTTATATACGACTGCGATTCAAAGGCGATTTACCTAGCGCGAAATAATTACGAGGAAATTAAGAAAGTCAGTTCAAAGAATTTTTATTGCTGGCGAACTACACGTATTATTCTCTGCACGACCGATGGTGATTGCTCGACTGAAAGATCAAGTACCTAGACTAGCTGAGCACTTCAAATTGTATCTACCAATTCAACTCCGCTAGTGGTGGAGCGAGTTATATTGGCCGTTGCCCTAGGAACTTGATTTTTCGTGCTATCTCGAGAACATCTCCCAGTATGACTAAGTAAAGGTGTAGTTAAAACCATTAACAGCTCGATATTAGACCATCTTGTGCAAACCGGCCACAAAGCCAGTGTTGAAGAATCCTACTTTACCGGGTGCATAATAAATTTCCAAAAACATCGAAGTACCGCATGCTCCAAACAGCAGAGGCTATGACGATTCCCGTTATATAACCAGTGCATTTTGTGCAAAAGAAACAAATCCAGACAGCCACTCCTACTGCGCTGGCCTTCAGTAGAGACTATAAATTCATGAATTTGTAATATTAATTTTCCTAATTTCTCTGATATTCAGTGTACTGTTATGTTCATGCTGTTCAGCTGTAATCTATCAACATTATTAACTCGATGTTATTTAAACAAGATTAATGTTGTTAATAACACTAATTCATTCATTCACTATAATGCATATATATAACTGTAGAGCCTGATGAGGAAGAGGTTATCGAAAAGAGTACTCTTTGTTCAGTAACCATTCATTTAATATATAATATTCATTAGTGCATCGTCTGAAGCAATATTGTTCTATCCAAAACATGCTCCATGACTCCCGTGACGTTTTCCTCCCATTTCCTTCTAAAAATTTGTAGCGGTAGGTTGAAATCGTTTTAAAATGCGCTTGAGAGTAGCTTATGATTCATAAATTCATTTGGACGATTAAAACAATATGGAATGCAGTAAATACGATGTATCTTGATGACTGATATGTACAACTAACTTGCTGAACACGAACTATTGAACACCTAGAATCGATTCTTATTTGGATTTCTTCGTTTAGAAATAAGCTTAAGCAAGAAACTGTCTTATTTTGAAGTGATTATGTCGTCTGATTGCCAAGCGAAATCACGCTGTGGGCTGTTGTGTAGACCTCAAATGGGAAACCGCGAGTTAGGCATTGTCACAAGTGAGAAGGAAATGCAAACTTGTGGCTAATCATGGAACCAGCCATAGTCAACTGGAGATGTACTGTAAAAGCGCTCTGTTCTACACGGAATCCAAGTCAATAGTATAAAATAATTTTTAAAGATGTACATATATTGAAGTAGAAAAGTGTGAGAATCACATTACCTAAAGTTTTATTCATGACTGATGCTTTGGTTGGCAATAATCTTTCTCTCACAGTCTTTACTTTCATACTGTTGATATTTATTATTAATGGCATTTATGAAAATGTTATCTTATGTTACTTGATAGAATTCTAACGGGTACGTTCTTCTCACCATCTATCTATCTGTCCAGCTGTCGGCGTAACAATCTGCCTACCTAGTTGCCTATCCAAATAGCTATTTGTCTCTATTTCTGATGTAAAGTACTATTAGAATACGTTTATATTTTTTTTGTATGATACAGTTGATAAATGGTTGTTTCCAATTGGACAATGGTCAGTAACTAATGTAATGTTTGTGTGCATGTGTTCAGTCCTGTCTTTGGTACAAATTGAATTCTATCAGTCAGTGAAGTTTGCAATGTGGCCACCATGCCACTAGGTGGCTCACCATCACGGTACACTGTGAATCGTCGGAGCCCGAATGAGAAGCGATGGGTTGGTCGTCAGTGGGAGGGTGACATGAAGGAGGTCACATGAAGAGATGAAAGCATGTGGACGGACGTGGAGTCAGGTGAAAACGTTGACAGAGGACCAAACTCAGTGGATACGTGCGGCTGAAGCCCTCCCTATGTTCCTATAGGAACTAAAGGAAACAATTATAATAATGTTTGCAAAATTTTGGAATGATGAATGCTACTAGAAGGAGACTGTACTCGGTTCTCAACACACACTGGGTACATTGCAAAAACAGTTTCGTTTTATGTCTCACAATCTTACTTATCATGGGGATTGAAAGCTACACGACTTCAACAAATCAGATGTTTGGAAGAATTTAGTCTTACTAGACAGCGAGAAAGTTCGACCTTATACAGCATTTAGATCATTGCCATCTGTCAGTCGAAGGACTTTCTACCACTCAAATCAACCAGTAATATATTCCATACTCTGCCTCTATTCTGAATGAATAACATTTCAAAGGAGACTTTAAGTGTTTTGAACTAATTTTTGACTTTATAATGTCTCCCTGTGCTAAAATAATGTCTGTGCCACTGTTCAACTGTTTTATTGGTAGTGGGTGTCAGAGCCAGGATAGTGGAAAGCATGACAGGTGGTCATACTCTAAAACAAGTAAAGCGATCCACACAAAAGCAGGTAGGAAAAGGAACAAGATCCTAATTTTTACACTAATGTCAAGTCAGTGCTTCCATATGTCTGAGAGACTTGGAGTGAGTAACACTGAATGCATTTCCGCCATGCTGCCAACTTCTATTGACTTTGGTCGCAATTGGCGGGCAACTCGAAGGCATCAATGATTCAATCGTGTACAAGTTGGAAGAAGACGAAAGAATACGAATAAAAGTATAGTACATTCCTTGTAAAAAATTTGTTTATAGAATTTGTACAGAGTATTGATTTTAACTGCCGAAGAATACAATTTCTTATTGGTCCTTGTGTTTTGGAGTTAAAGTCAATACTGTACTCAGTATAGTTGTCAATTTGGAGCATCCTCGGAAATAATGGCAACTTAGGGTTAAGTTCCTTGACAGCTGTCTTAGCTTCGTACTCTGAAGATCAGATGGAAAGACAGAAAGGATAAACAACGAGCAACTCCGGCAGTTTAGCCTGTGGACTACTAACCTATTGCCCAAGAAATGTACAGAAGACAGTGGATATGGACTACACATGTGCTGATGCAACTGATGAGTGATATCAAGCACTGGACCATCGCTCAAATGGAACCCGAATGGGGAACGACGTGAGAAAAGAGCAATCCTGGAGCCAGATGGAAACACATCAGAGAACAGAGTGAAATGACAGTTTATCCTGCTGAAACCCTATGCTCCCTTCGGTACCAAAAAGAAAATGATGATTAAACTGACAAATATACATATTTGGAGATTAGGTCTTTTTCATTGGAAAATTGCATACTACTTCTCAGTAGTGTGTTGGGATATTGAGAAATATATGAGGAATAGTTATTCTTTCACATTTTAACAGTCAAATATCAACTTTAGAAAATCTGAAAACTTACATTGTGCATAAGATTTCTGTTTCAGGTTGAGAGATTTTCCTTGTAAGTGATCATTTTGCCACCAGTTATCGTTTCTTCCATCTGAAATATGAAAAAGAAGGTAATTTGTGCAATTTATTAGTACTTGTGTTTGTACAGAAGCTATTAGTGAAAGATAAACTTGACCTCTGGAGATAATTAGTCAGAGAAATTAAGGCACTCGGATGGCGACAAAATGACTTGTTATCTCTCTTTTTTTGAATAAATCTTAATTCTGAGAAAGGGATATGAGTTTCCCGTTTAGATATGTTACGATGGGTGTTTCATCCATGAAATTTGGTGACCAGGGTTATATTTTACTGTCAGTTGTATGACGGTGGGATAGAAATCAAAGAGCTGTGTGAATAATTTACTGATTCTGACTGAGTTGACACACTCACGCCTTGAGGGACACAAATAAAAAAGAAAATAATAATGAGAGGTCCACAAGAGAGGTAATAAACAGAAGTGTGAGTGAAGGTAAAAGAAGAGTAATATTGAAGAACAATACAGTTTTGTTGGATATGACGGCCAAAGTAAACTTCAAGCACCAGTAACTGCCAATCAGCGAACGACGTCAAATTATCCAATGAGATTCACGAACGTAGTTCAATGTTGTATGGCGCCTGATTCATTTCCGATGCTTGCCTTTACAAGGTTACGTTTGCAATTCGAGGAGGATAGTGCCTTTCAGTATCGCCTGGACTTAAGCTTGCTTCGAAAGGAGAGAAGTTGTTCGTGTGGTTGTGTAATGACTCTAAAAAGCTATACCAGTTCAACGGATGGATTTGTCCATCGTTGTGGAATATGCTGGAAGCGAATTAGTATTAGAGAGGGTATGCTTCTTGGAAAATGGAGATCACTTCGTTGTTGGGTGGAGAAGACGTAGTATTGCACGTGGATGAGACTGTGTTGGTGAAGAGGAAATAAAACCGTGGTCGTCAGAGAGCGAACAACATCTGGGTCATGTGTTTATACGACACTTCCCTACAAATAGGATTTGTTGAAAGAATAGCAGACAGGAATGCGACTACTCTGATACCTATTATATCGCGACTTGTCAAATGGGGATCAGTTGTACATACCGACGAGTGAAAAGGCTATAATTCATTGTCATCCCTGGGATACATTCATCACAGAGTGAACCACTCCAGTGATTTCATGGATCCCGTTACTGATACCCCTTTTAACCGTTTTATCCTTTTTTTATGCATTTTTCTATAAATATACGTTTCCACTTATTATAAACGCCTCTTTCGTATGATTGGTCCGTTCAAGGTAGTTTGCTGATTGGTTGTTACTGGTGTCGAAAGTTTAATTTTGCTGGTTTAACATAACTATGAAGACTCCTATGAGAAGCTGGAAGGTTTTTCGGACCATATACGAGAACGTTATCCTTTGTACCTTTTTAAACATTGCATTACTTTTACATGAACTTTTTATTCAAATTATGCGCCGTTTCTATAAGGGCTTCTGATTGGTCAAAGTTGCCATTGTCAAGGTCATTTATCCATTCGATAGGTAGTTTTGGTTTGGGCTGCTATAGTTTAGAGTCACCCATGATAGAATTAGTTTTGCACCCCTCTAATTATGAGAATATAGTGTATATCAAAAGAAGCATTTAGACTATCTGACTGGAGGCTTTGAAATTGTGAAAACCAATGACTCGAAATTATTAGTGATATGGATCAAAATCGCATTTAAAGTCATTTATCACATTCCTAATAATCTTAATTTTGCTTTACGAGTTCGTTTTCTACATACAGCTGAATGAAGCCATAGGAATCTACCTGAGGAAGCCAAACCTGTCGGTTCAGAAGGAATTCGTACAGCCACTTCCCTTACTTTGGCAATCGTTACGTGAATGTATAAATCTGAATACATCGCTGTCCCCTTAAGCCTTGTAAAAATTAAAATTGTTCAAATTATTTTATTATTTTTTCTGACTACTTCATCTTTAATTACAAGTTTTTATCGACCAAATTATTTTATTTTTATCCATAAAATCTGTGTGAAACAAAGGACTAGGTACATGACATTATTTAGTGTCTAATCGAAGAAATGGTATTCATAAAATCAAATTCATGAAAAAATTACTCTACATTCATGAATAAGAAGTGGTGACCGATGATTAGCGGAAAGGAATTCATTTCAACTGGCCAAATAATCACATTTCGTGAGATTATTGAGACAGTTTGCTTGGAGAAACTCATTTGTAACTAACTGCACTAATAAGCGACACTATTCATATTTGTTTATTTGTGGCTTGCCATGGAGTCCGAGATGAATGTTTTGTCTCACATTTTGGAATGATTTTCTTCAGCCTTATTGAGACGTTCCTTGTGATATCGGCAAAGATGGCTCGAAACGTTTGCATGTGAGAATGGAGTTATTAGATTCATTCCAAATATACCAACGGTATATCGAACCAAACGAGTGGTACAGTAATAATACTGTCAATAATGGACATTCTTTAAAGTTGAAATGCAAATTAAATATGTGGAAACCCTTTCATTCTGTCCACTGCATCTTGTAGCTCATTTTAGAAAAACAAACTGCGTATTTAGTAGTCTCGACTGGTTTAAAATATTTAATGAAATCATGTGATCCTTAACTAAAGTATGCAAATCTGAAAATTTAAATAAATAAAGAAGTCCCACAGGGTTTTGCAGACACACAGTGCTAAGTGTTGCATAACACAAGCTGCTCATGAAGAAAATAGTCTTCTGACCAGAGGTTATCCCTTTTTTCAAATTATAGAAGCTTCCGTCTTTGCTGAAACTGAATACAGTTTTAAATGTTCTGTCTCTGATTTATTTCATTGCTGAGAACCTGTTATATATATATATATATATATATATACTGCTCTGCAGGGACTTGCCTGGTTTCGTTTAAGGTCACGAGTCGATGCCAAGAAGAATCCCACCGGAGAATCAAGGAGTGAGGGAATGCTGTTTCCTGCTAATTCTGAGCTACTCTTCAGCACACACCCGTGACATAAGGCGAAATCAAAATCGTTACCTCTAGGTTACTAAGCTAGTACGTTTGCTATTCAACCACCATGTCTGAATCCATCAGCTTTATATCGATTCGTGGTATATAACGGTAATACTAATAAATGTCTTTGAAGAATCCCTGCCCTCAATTATGATATGATTTATCCTTATGATTCTGACATCCCGGGAGAAAATTATTACCACACACATTAGTCAGCAGTTATGATCACTGAGGTCTATCTGTTTGAACAAATATCCGTCACAATCTACAGCTGTTGATGCCTCTGTGTGCTGCAAATTAGTAGAAGTTAAAGTCACATGTGACACTGGGTTCCTACCTAGTGGTTGAATAGCCAAAATGTTTGCTTCGAAACCGGAAGATTTTGGATTCTGTCACAAGTGGTGTCAGCGTTGGGTACTGCCAAAGAGTTCCAAGATGAGTAGAAACAAATATCCAAGTTTTCCAGAGTGTGTCTACCTGATGTAAGTTTGCAGTATACTTTATACCTATTTTCTTCGTCCACTTCATAATTCGAAACAACAATATGACAAAAATTGGTGTCTGGGTGATACTACATCTTCCTAGTTGAGTGTTTCTCAGTGCAGATTCGCTAACTATTATCGCATTTAACAAATGTCTACTTGTATAATGTGCATATTAAATTCAGAATTCAGAATGGACCCTTATTACAAGTATTTATTTTATGGATAGGTGACGAAATTTAGTCATGCAATCTTACTCAAAATTCATATGTCAAACAAACGAAAAATTCTAGTAAAAATGGCAGGAAGTGAGACCATATACAGCATCTTGTGACACTGTGAGAACGCACTTATACAACGGTGAGCACATAATTGTGTCTGGGACCTTATCCTGTTAAGTGATTGTTGTGCATTATAACAAATAAGCTTATATGATGTGGAATTCCTCTTCTTTTCATATGCTGGGGTCTACAGGCGATGACACGTAAATATATTGAACATATGTCCTAATTCTTAGTTAAACAGCGTTTACTTCCTTTCTAAAATAATTACGCTTACAAATTTATTATTTTAACTTTGATTATTATTCCTTCTAGTACTAAAGTCAGCATTAAAATTTGTTTGATTTCACGTGTTCTAACTTATGTGGTATTTCACTGGATGTTATATTAAATTCTATCACTTTTTATAAACTGAGAATCAGTTTTCTACAACTGGTAGATTTATGTGTAAACGTCATACTGGAATATCCCAAAATAAACAACTACACTCGCATCACATATGCATATGTAAATGTCACTGAAATAAAAAACAAAATTGAAATAAATCATGAGTTGGAATGTCATCGTGATGAATTTCTCATTGAAATTTAATGGTTACACCTAATGAAAACCGTCAAGTTATAGATTAAACACGAAATAGAATAACTGTTTACGTTGTCATCAAGTTGTCTACTGTACATATATTGAAACACTTATAGTTGTAAACAACATAAGTAGAATAAATACGTTTATTTATGACAGATGAGCGATGATACTTTTAGCTGGATTTTGTTATGAGTATCATTGTGCTTAACAGATCAGTAAAATATGATAGGGTCTATTCAGTCCCTTTGAGTACCCATCTCTTCAAATCACTTGATACTATTTCTCCAATGAATCTTACACTAGTAAAAAATTATATTTGTAAAGTCTCAGCCAGATTGAAATGAGTAATTGCGACGTTTCGTCCGGCAATCTGGTCCGAACTTCTTCAGGGAAATTAATCGAAACTGACATAACAGAGTTTTATACCTAAAAGGAACATCACTTGTTTTTAAAAACTTTGTCCAATCATGAGTCATGAAACAAGTATCAACAAGTATAGTAAACAAAATCTTATGAGCTGTGATCAAAATTTGACCTCGGACTTACAAATATTGGTCTACCTTTGTTAAACACTTTAAACAGAGTGTGTATGTGTGTGTGGGTAAACAGTTGTAAAACATTTCTTAACGTTTCCATAAGAAGATATGGACAGTCGGGAATTTTGACCAAGTATTAATAATTAGTGATACATATCCATTTTTATTTATTAATGAGGATT